CACAGAAAAGGCCTTGGCCCTACATTCCAACAGCATTCCAGGCCATCACAGGTCCCGTCAAGCCTATCTTCTAAATACCTCTCAAGCCCCCCGTGCCCCCTTTTTTAACTGCCACTTCTGTGGTTCAGGTCACTCTCATTGCTCGCCTGGAATACTGCAGTGTTCTCCTAACCTGTCTCTCTGCCTTTAGTCCCCTGTCTAGTCCATCCTGTTTACCACATTCTAAAACAGTAAATCTGATCATGCCACTTTTTTGTAACATTATATTACTTCGGAATTCTAAACAGCAGCCGTTAGGTCTCAGAAGTCACTTCTTTTAGGAAGCCTTCCCTGAGCACCTAGCCAGTAATGGGTTAATCACTCCTGCCCCCCGAACTCCCAGGGCATTCAGTGCTTCCCCCTCAGCACTTACCACAAGGTATTGTAGTACCTTTGTCTTCTTTGTCATCCCAGCCTGTGAGCCCTGTAAGGATGGGGGCTATGTCTCTTACTGGCTCATAAGCGCTTAGTAACTATTTGTTGACTGAATGAGGAAGATTCTGTTAGAACTCTTTCTTTTCTGCCATCGGTTTGTCAGTCACCATCCATAGGAGTTTGGAGTTTGTCACTTAAAAGTGGCCACAAGGAGGGAACAGGAACTCTCATACCTGGTGAGTGGGAATGCAAAATGGTATAACCTTAATGGGGGGTGGGTGGCAATATGTAGCAAAATTAAAACTGTCTGATCCAGCAGTCACAATCAAGATTCTGAGTCTATCCAAAGACATGATGGCAAAAAGATACAAAGAACTATGAGGTATTTTTTGTAGCACTACTTCCAATAGCAAAAGACTGGAAACAGCCCCAAAGTCTATAGCGGAGGACTGGTTGAATAACCTTATGAGACATCTATTCAGTGGAGTGCTCAGCAGCCCTGGAAGAACAAGGTGGAGATTCAGTATATACTGCTGCAGATCCATCTCAGTAGATATTATCAAGTGAAAAGAGCAGGGTGCAGAAGAGCGCATATGGTAGGTTACATTTTATGTAAAGGGGGCAGAATATATACATATGTCCATTGTTTGTAAAGGAACAATGGAAAGATAAACCAAAAATTAATTTAAAAAATATTTATGCATAGGGGAGAGATACCGGGGAGGGGAAGAGGCTGGATAGGTCTTATTTTATTGTTTTGCCTTTAGAAGCATGTAAAGTTTTATTTTTATTTTGTACATTTATTTATTTTTATTTATTTATTTTTGTCTGCTTTGGGTCTTTGTTGCCCTGCGCGGGCTTTCTCTACTTGTGGCGAGCGGGGGCTACTCTTGGTTGCGGTGTGCATGCTTCTCTTTGTGGTGGCTGCTCTTGTTGCAGAGCACGGGCTCTAGGCACGTGGGCTTCTGTAGTTGTGGCATGAGGGCTCAGTAGTTGTGGTGCATGGGCTTAGTTGCTCCACAGCATGTGGGATCTTCCCAGACCAGGGCTCAAACCCATGTCCCCTGCATTGTCAGGTGGATTCTTATTTTCGTTTTTTGTTTTTTGTTTTGCGGTACGCGGGCCTCTTACTGTTGTGGCCTCTCCCATTGCGGAGCACAGGCTCAGCGGCCATGGCTCACGGGCCCGGCTGCTCCGCGGCATGTGGGATCTTCCCGCACCGGGGCACGAACCCGTGTCCCCTGCATTGGCAGGCGGACTCTCAACCACTGCGCCACTAGGGAAGCCCTGTCAGGTGGATTCTTAACCACTGCGCCACCAGGGAAGTCCCAAGTTGTGTTAATTTTTAAAGTTAAAAAGAAAAATAAATAAAAGTTGCTGTGAGGGAAGGAATCTGGAGGCTGGAACAGTGCTGGTGTCCTGGTTAATTTGAAGTCATCTGTCCCCCTTTCACCAGAATCTCTTTGACCCAAGGGAACAGGGAGGGTTGGTAGGACACACATAACAGTAGCTCCCTTTACATGGTTGGACTGCATGTCTGCCAGGAACAGGGTGCCACAGGAGGCCAGAAACCTCTGTTGATCTCTTCTTGCCTCTCTGTGAGGAGGCAGATCTGCTGAGCACAGGCCACCCAGCTGAAACAGAGCTCACTCAGCCTTTCTCTCTTGGCCTCAGGGCCCAGCTATCAGGGAACTCATCAAAGTCTGCTGCCGCACTTCTTTCTTTCTCTTCCCCAGCTCCATCTGGCCATCCTTTACACGGTGGTTTCCCACTTGAAAGCCCAAGCTTCTCCCCAGGCCTTTTTACCCCCTCTGTGTCTCTCATTCCATTTCTCAACAGCTACCTTCCTTCTGTCCTTTAAAGCCCTATCCTAACTCCTGCCCTCTCACTCCTCTCAAACCACCCCAAATCTCAAGTTTGCCTTTAAAGAATCAGAAGTTAGGTTCTCACCGGGCTTGTGGAGCCAGAGTTTGTTTTCGCAGACTTTGCCTCTCAGCACTTGATTAATAAACTCAGCAGTTACGGAGGACTTGATTTCTCAGGCTGTGGCCTTCAGAACAGATGTCGAGCCCATGCCAGAACTGCCGTAGTGACAATGAAATGGATTTTCAACATGACCAAATGGGAAATTATCCTCCTTTACATTTGGAGGGTTTATATTTGTATGGGGTGGGGGGGTGGGCACGGAGAAAGGGTGGTGGTATAACAGCTGCAGAGAGATTACAGGAAGTTTGGAAGTTTTGATTATTACCATTTTATTTTTGTCTTCCAGCTGCTAGGTCAGGCTGCTCGAAACATGGTACTACAGGAAGATGCCATCTTACACTCAGAAGATGTAAGAAACAATTTCTATTATGATTTGGGTTTTATATGCACAGTTTGTTTGGCTTCAGGGAAGTGGAATGTTCTATTTCTCTGTTCTTCTTTTTTTTTTTTTAATGCAGAGTTTAAGAAAAATGGCAATAATAACAACACATCTTCAATACCAGTGAGTATTCCCTCTCCAGTGCCTACTGTACTTATTAAGCAATCGTTTTCTGCAGGCTGTTTCTTGTGGCCTTTGTGTTTCAGCACATTTTCCTGTGGAGGCAGGAGCTGGGAGTAAAGGAGGGGTTAGTCAAGGATGTGTTCCCTCTGGAAGAGATGCTTGAGACTGCATAAGAATTTGGGGTATGGAGTGTGATCAGAGTGGGCACCACCTTTGTGAACCTCTCTGATAATTTGAGGGCTTCTCAGAAGGAGAGACTGCAAACCCCATAAGGGCAGGGCCCATCCAGGACCACACACATGCACAGCGCTTGGCACCCAGTAGGCACTTAACCAGTATCTGTCCACTGTCTGTGCCTGAGGTCTTTCCTGGAGCATCTGCACCTTCCCTGGAGAATCAAGTATAACTATGTTCTTTATCTTACATTCCCATATATAACCCAACCCTAACTACATATAAATCATCCAGGAGATTTTGAAATATAGAGACCCCTTTTGGACAAAATTATAATTTAATTAACTTGTCATCTTATTTCATTTTGCTTTTTATTTTATGTAGTTGACATTATACTTATGTATCTATTAGAAATATCTGACTGGGAATTTAACTCTTGATATCTAAATAGCTAAATACTCATTTTTGGGGGTGTGTACGTGTCAGGTATGTGGCCGTTTGGCTCCACATACCCAGACTGAATTTGAGCCATACTTGTAGTTTGTTAGACCACATCCCTCACTCTGATAGAATATTATTACATCTTTAGGTTTAGAATCATCTTTTCAGCAACTCTGCACTCAGATACTGAACCTCTGTTCAATAGCACAATCTTAGGATAGGATGGACAGAAATATAAAATGTGACAAGCTGGAAATTTGTTCTGCCTATATATACATATCTGACCAAAAATAACTTTTACTAGTTTGCTGCATTTTCTTATGTTTATTTTCCTCTTTCCTTTTCTGATTTAGGCAAGAAGCTATTCAGAAGAAGTAAGTAACCCCAAAGGTAGAGGAGTGGGGGGCCAACTAACTGTAGCAGGCTGGGGGGAATTATGCTGCTGGGCCTAGGATCAGTACAAAACTCTGGTTCACAGAGGCCCTTAAGTTGCCATGTGTTCTAGGATAGCTCATTGGGAATATAAAGAATATTTCAAAGGCATGCAGTAAGTCAATTCACTGCTAGCAAAGGCTTTCTAAAAGTTATAGAGTGTAGAGACCAACTCTGAGGGTAGGAAACCTTTTACATTGGTAATATTCATTAAGTAAAGTAAATGTGCTAAAGTCATTGAACAGCCTTGTTTTTGTTTTAAGTGGATTAAATCTGTCCCTTGCAATGTTGTTTACACTACTAGTTGGCTTTACAGATCTTTTCTTCATAGTTTAAACATGTCTGGGACCCTAGTGGACCAACAGAAATTTTGATTTAGTTCAACAGAACTATGCATATAATATACTTTGTGCAAATCATTTGCACAATGAGATGTCCTTTTTTTTTTAACATTGATCGCATTTTTTTTTTTTTTTCAGTATCTAGTCCTCCATTTTTTCTAGGGAGAACATATGAAATTGGACTTGCAGGGACAGGAAACCATTGCATACAAAGAATGTAGAGGAATACCCCTATCTCTGCATCCAACCATGGATGTGACCCCATCAATAGCCCCAACATTTAAAGCCAAAAGAAAGTACTATTGCATAGAGAGGGTTGCTATGACAACGAGATGCTCATTCTAGATAAACCTTTTTCTCTATTCTAATTTGTAGTGTTGAGCAGTCATCAAATCTACAGGACCAGTTAAATCATCTGTTGAAGTAGAACGTGTTATGAGAGGGCAAAAGCACTTTGCCTGACACTGAGGAGGAAATATCTTACATAACCACTGTGCTATGGGTTTGATTTTCCATTTTCTTCTCCAAAAGTTAAGTTAGAGTAAGATCCGTGATGATGAACAGTTTCTCCTGAAAGGAAGTTAAGTGATTGAATTTTTTTTTTCTTTTTTTTGGCGGTACGCGGGCCTCTCACTGTTGTGGCCTCTCCCGTTGTGGAGCACAGGCTCCAGACGCGCAGGCTGAGCGGCCATGGCTCACGGGCCTAGCTGCTCCGCGGCATGTGGGATCTTCCCGGTCTGGGGCACGAACCCGTGTCCCCTGAATCGGCAGGCAGGCTCTCAACCACTGCGCCACCAGGGAAGCCCCTAAGTGATTGAATTTTGAAAGCACTTATTGAATCAAACCAACCCATGCTCTTATTGAATTTTTAAGTTGCTCTGTTAATTTGATATTAAAGCAAAATTAAAAGATGTCTTAGTTTTTCTCATAGAACTTTGATATGTCAAAAGCCATATTGTCTAAATGTGTTTCTTAAGCAAATACTGAGTAGTGTTTTAAATTCAGACTTAAGAGCTTCTATTGTGAATGTATAAGAATGATTAATACTGTTTTTAAAGACTTCTTTCTTTTAATCATACATTCAGGAAATATTTTAATTTCATGGTCACAGAATGGTGATTAAGTAATACCTGTTGTTTTCTTTTCTTTTCTAGTAACTAAGAGGAGATAGTTATTTTATTTGTTGTAGCAAATTCCTACATGAAAATTAGGCAAATGGTATCATATCTGGCCAGCTGCAACCTCCTGCCTTGACCTTCATTCCTAGGGTTTCTTTGTTGTTGTGACTCTTGATTAAGTGGCCTTGGGTTCATTTTGTAATTTTGCTAGTCATCAGCAAATTCACTTGTATGACATTATTGTCAAGTGAGAATGCAGTTGAGTTACTGTGATTCCGGTATAGGGTTGTGCCATGTAGAAAACCTTACGTTTATTGACATTTACCTATGTTCATTGAATTTATCTCATTAAATGTCATTACCGTTGTCTGTTGTCAAGTCTGAATGTCTATGCTTTATTTGAATTTAAAATGGGACTTCCAACCTGTTTTAGCTCAGTTCTTAATTCACTAAGGTACTGGGAGAAAGCTGACATAAGAAAATGGTGTTTTTACTGAAAGAAAAAAGGCAAATATGAGTCCAATTTAATTCATATTCTATATCATCAAGTTGACTAATCATATCAGATTACATTTATTCCTCATTTTATATATATATACATTAACTTAAAGTAAAAAAACAGTATGAAGGAATTCACTTATACATTCATTCTATAAATGTTTATTACAATTATTAAATATAAACAGGTTCAACTTACCTTAAAAAGAAGGCTTGCAAACTTACAGCAATTGTCATATTAGTAGTAAAACATTTGATGTTACTATCACAGTTTCTATTCAACATTTTGCTGGAAGCCACACCTGGTGCAGAAATTAAAATTAAATGTAACTATTAGCAAGGAAGAGACAAAATTGTTATCATACAGTAGGATTATCTACTTAGAAAATCCAAGGACTGATTTTTTTAAAAAGTCACCAGTTTAGAAAACAAAACAAAGTTTAACCATCCAAGTATACACAAAGCAAAGAAATATTTAAGATGAAAAACAATTAAACTATAGTCTATGTTTTCTTCCTCATGCTGGAACAAATATTAAAGAAGCAGTGACTGCTTATGTTATATCTGATAAAATAAATTTCACAATCAAAATTTGAATGGTAAATAAAGATGAAATTTACATTAAATAATGAAAACCTAGTAGTACTGATTTGGTCATTTTAAAGAACATAATGCCAAAATACATGAAAGAAAAGTAGACAGAAATGTGAGAGCAGGCAGAAATGTATACATACTTCGATAGTTTGTTTCTTATAGAAATAGGTTAATATGGAGACAAAAGGTACTTCTCTAAAATAACATCTGTGTTGTAGAGGATATGTTGGAGGATAATTTCAAAATAATGAAAATTCAAATCTATGCAAGCAAATTTATGTGATGATACCCAAGCAGTACTATAAAGAAAAAAATCATGCTTTAAATATCTGTATTAGGGATAAGGCGTAAGTAAATGTTTTCTTTTTCTTTTTTTTAAGGAGTTTGTGGTTAGAATTTAGAAAGAGAACAAAAGAAATCAAAGTGGAATAAGAAAACCAAGCATGAATGACAAAAATTAGAAAAATATATGAAACCATTAATTGGTTCTTACAGATTAAATTGGTAAAATGTCAGCTCAATCGTAAAAGTACAAATTAGTACATTTATAATTGAATAGGAGATATATAAAATAAATCAATTAGATTTGAAAAGAGAGATCTGTCAGCTTGATGCTAAAAATTTAATTACTAGTATCAAAATATCTGGCTCCTTATAATGATATAATATGATAAAACTGACATTTAAAAGAGAATATGTCCAGACTGGTTATGAGAAATAATCCATAAATTGTCAGAAATAACCAATTAAAATGTCATCTGCTTGTGATGGCTGTCCTGAGACTTTTCCAAAGTATCAAATAACAAATCATTTCCATATACTCCCAAAGTATAGAAAATGATAGCAAGATACCCAGTTCCTTTGCTGAAGTAAATGTAATTTTCATTAAAAAAAGTAAAAAGCAATATAATATAAAGACATTTAGGAGATTCTTATTTATGAACATAGATGCAAAAATCCTAATAAAATCTCAGAAAATTGAATAGAGAAATATTTGGAAGAACTGCTAACATAATTCTAGAGTTACAAAGTTCATATAACAGCTGCAGAACACATTACATTAATAAAAAACAATAAAATCGTACATCACTGTAATATACACCAAAAAGGCATCTGAAAAAGTTCAATGTCTATTTCTAATTAAACTTAAAAAAAAACTCTCTAAAAGTATGTTTTAGAAGAAAGAATAATAGAACCCCAGAATATTAGAGCTGTATGGGGCCTCACAAGTGATTAAATTCTAGCCTCATGTTTTATAGATGAAAAACATAGCCAGGGAGATTAAATGACTTACCCAAGGTCACTGAACTTGATGGTAGGTCTTCTGACTACTAGTCTAGCTTGCTATTATCTGTTACTTTTCTTATAAATAGAAACAAGGGTGCTTCCTGTCATTTCTAGTATTTAGCATCATAAAAAAGAAAAGGAAGTAATTGAATCCAATCCATTTACCCCTGCTACTTCATCTCTGGTAAGTAACCAGTTGGTCATCTAGCTTCTGCTTGAATACTTCTAATGTTTGGAGAATCCTTTACTTAGTGGTGGTGGCCATTTTGGAAAGCTGTACTTGAAAGATGGTTTTGTGTACTGAACCAAAAATCTGCCTTTCTGGACCATCCTGGAATTGTCGGACCAGTAGCTTCCAAGGTGGGATGTGTGGAGGTATGCACAAGGCCATCCTTTGAGGTAAGGGAAGAAAATATCTGTGTATATTTATTTTTTATCTTAAAAAGAGAAAATTAGCTTTTTGCTAATATTTAAAATATGGCTTGATATGAGATATCTGACTTGGCCTACATAGCATACCTATCATTTAGCAGGGGTGATATTAAAAACAAAAAATTCTGTGGCTGAAGCACTGACCAATCAGAATGAATGATGGTCACAAGCAGTCTGGTCCAAAATCAGCCCTGCACACTAGATACCTGAGGGAAAACTGGGAATAACTAAATGTAAGTTGATGGTGGTTTGTTTTATTGCAGTTTATCTGTGTGTGGTTAAGTGGATTTAAGGCTTATCAAATGATTCTTGTGAATAACCACAAATTGAAGATAATACAATAAAACAAGCACAAGTGAACAAGTGGAAAATGATAGAGCCTTTTCCTTAACCTCCCACTAATCTGTCCTTTCAAGATAAAGTTACCATTTTAACAATGAGTGAGAAAGTGACAACTTTTCTAAAGGAACTAATTTTATGGAGAGAGTGTTTTGAAAACTAATATTTTGGAGTGTTTTCACCATTAAACAATTGCCAAAAACCAGATATCTATAAAAACGTATTTTTACACACTTAATAGAGATATTCTAACCTATAAAATATTCCAAAAAGGATCATTTCCATGGGTTTAATTTGTTAAAAATATAACACCTTCCTCTTAACATTTAACAACAACTAATTGACATCTGGGAAGATTATTATTGTCAGATGAGACTGAAAAATGAGTATACTTTAGTAAATCTTCCATTCAGATATCCTTTCAGTTGGAACCCCATATCGCCTTACTATCCTAATGAATAGAAATTCTTGTTATAACCACAAAAGGAAATAAAGTATACCAGTGTAGGAGTGTAGAAATTAATTAAATTAATTTTTTTTTTCTGCAAGATGAAATGACAATACTTAGAAAACAAGTGAATTGACCAAAAAAATACTAGAGGTTAAAAATGAACTTAGCAAAGTTGCTTTCCTAAATACAATTCAAAATAGACTGAGATTGATTGGTATGGAATCATTGATATGATTCCATCACTATGACATTCTGGGAAAGGAGGGAGAACAGATCTATGGTGGTTTAGAAGCTAGCGTGGGGAGATTTACTATGCAAAGGGGCAGGAAGAAACATTTGGGTGAGAGCCTTGATTGCGGTGATGTATATACCTTGTTAGAATTCACAGAACTGTACACTTTATAAAGAAAGGTGAATTTTACTGAATGTAAATTCTCTCTCAATACACTTGACTTTAAAAAGTGGACTGAGAAAAGGTGATTTCATTCCCAAAGGGGGCAAAAATCAGTATATACGTGGGTGTTCATACGAGCATTATAAAATGAAAAGCACAGTGGAGCAATAAAGGCAGATCCTTAATAGTAAGAGCCTCTTCCTGGTTGGAAAGACCAAAGACAGCCAAGCTGACTTTGGGCACACTAGGGCCGTAGCGCGAGGGAGGACTCGTGGTCCGACTGCGCAGGTGGGTTCCTGCCCGGGGGCGGGGCCTCGGGAGCGCGGGGCCTCGGGAGCCCTGGGCCTACGGAGCGCTGGGCCTCGAGAGCCGGCTGCTGGGGACCCAAGTTCCAAGGTCTGGAGGCCGAGGAGACAGTGAGTGTGGTCCCTCGCTTCCCCGCCCGCCCCCAGGGCAGGCTCTCTGCCCCTAACCCTGCTACCCCCACCGCCCACCATCACCACCCGCTGCGCTCCCGCCTGCCGCCCGCCCGTAGACCACCCCTCAGTCCCGGGGCTCCCCTCCCCCATGCGGGCTCAGCGCCCTCGCCTTTAAGCTGCCTTTTCTCCCTCCTGGCAGTGGCCACCACCCGTGACGCTGAGATCCGGAAGGACGTGCAGGTAGGTGCTCGCAGTAGGGCCTATGGCTGCGGTGGAGCCTCAGCTGAGTGGGAGCTTTAGGCCTTTGGAAGCCCGGCCTGGCCCGCCAGGATCCCTGGGGTGGGGCAGGGCCAAGTCCGGGCTTAGAGCTTTGTAGCGAGCAAAGGCTGGCCAGGCCTGGGGGCGCTGGAGGGGGGTTGGTGGGGCGTATGGGCGCCTCCACCCTGAGGACACCAACTCGAACTCTTCTTTTCTCACCCCTCACCCCACCCTTGGACCCTGGGTCAGACCCACTACGGGCAGGTGCTGAAGAAATCAGCAGACCTCCAGACCAATGCGTGTGTCACTGCAGCCAGGCCAGTCCCTAAGCACATCCGGGAAGCCCTGCAGAATGTAAATGAGGAAGTATCCTTGAGGTAAAGTGCCCTGTGCTGCCTCCACGAAGACCCCAGACAGCATCTTTCTCAAAATATAGTGATGCCAGGTCGCTAGGGAATTAACCCGTCTCCTCCAATCCATGGGGCTTGCCTTATCTATTATAAAACTGATCGATCAGCACTGATCGATCATCTTACTGCTCTGTTGAAGAACTTCCAGTGACCCACACATATGCCCCTTTACTCACAGGATACATTCACACTCCTTGGAGCTGACATTCAAGCCTGTCCACGTTGGCCCTCCCTTCCTAACCAACCTTGGCTCCCTCTGATGCACTATACTACTGTAGCCAGACCTTTCCCTTCCTCCTGCCATCACACTGCCAAGATGATTTCTGCCTGCCCGGCATGAAGTTATCAATCTGGAATGCCTTCCCCCTGCTTTCTTTCTTCCTTTTTTAAAAAATAATTTATTTATTTATTTTTGACTGCATTGGGTCTTCATCCCTACGCGACGGCTTTCTCTAGTTGTGGCCAGCGGGGGCTACTCTTCGTTGCAGTGCGAGGGTTTCTCACTGCGGTGGCTTCTCTTGTTGCGGAGCACGGGCTCTAGGTGTGCGAGCCTCAGTAGCTGTGGCACACGGGCTCAGTTGCTCTGCGGCATGTGGGATCTTCCCAGACCAGGGCTTGAACCCATGTCCCCTGCATTGGCAGGCAGATTCTTAACCACTGTGCCACTAGGGAAGCCCCCCCCCCCCGCTTTCTACCTTCCAAATCCTACCTATCCAACGCTTCACTGATGTCCTACCTACTTTGTGAAGCCTTCTTTAATCCTTGGGCACCACTTTCCCAAACCACTATAACACTTACTTCCTGTGCCACTCAGTTTGTAAATAAATCATGGAAAATGTTTTCTGTGTTTGCGTTTTATCTCCCTCGTTAAATACACTTAAGGGACAGAATTCTTGTCTTACCTTTCTTCTTCAATAACTAGCAAGTCCTGGACCTGCATAAGATGCTCAGTTAATGCCTAACAAATATTTTAGTTGGTTTATTTGTCTTAGTACCTGGTGCAGTGCCCATCAATTCAATGGTAAACAAAGCAGATAGAGTCCCAGCCTTCATGGAGCTTCCGGTGTAGTGAGGGAGACTAAACATCTAAAAAGAAATTGAATGAATGATGGAAGGAAGGAAAGGAGGAAGGGAAGGAGGAAGGATTTATAAGATTTAATGGTTCCACATCTTCTCGTCTCTAAAGGGAACAAATGTGTATATATTTTCTATTTCCCAGATATTATGGCTGTGGTCTGGTCATCCCTGAGTGTCTGGAAAACTGCTGGGTTTTGGACCTGGGGAGTGGAAGTGGCTGAGACTGCTATGCACTTAGTCAGCTGGTTGGTGAGAAGGGACATGTTACCGGAATAGACATGACAGAAGGTCAGGTGAGGCAATTATTTCAAGGATAAGGAGGAAAAAATTCTGAAAAGCATTCTTTTAGAGATAAAGTTGTTTCCTTGTGACTCTTCAAGGATAATTTAAGAAGGGTGCTAAATGCAGTGCTCGCTTGTGCCATTACTGCTTCCTGACCTGGAAACCGAGAACTTTGACTATTAGGGGCTTCTCTGGGAGAACAGAGTCAAAGGTTTGATCTGATTTATGAATATCATGATGACTGAATGGAGTTTGATCTTTTCCTTCTTTCTGCCATCTATCCTGAAAGATTTTCTTATTGCGTGAAGAGTTTATTCAAATAAAACCCATGTATCAAACGGGGTTTATGCCCCATTGAGTTGTCCCACTCTGTAGTATATCCTGCATGCGCAGATGAACCTCGTTTACGTACCTAAAACATTCTGGGGGCAGTTCATTCCATTAGTAATAGGAAACTTTAGGAAAAAATTAGTGCATTAAAAAATGTTGATGATCAAATCTATTTTTTTTTCTTCCTTTAGGTAGAAGTGGCTAACAAGTACATTGAATATCACATGGAAAAATATGGCTTCCAGGCACCCAATGTGACTTTTATTCATGGCTACATAGAGAAGTTAGGAGAAGCTGGAATCAAGAATGAGAGTTATGATATTGTTATGTAGGTCTATGTCCTTACTGTTGTGAAGATAGCCCATTTCCTATTGAACACATGAATGTCACCACTTTTTGCTGAATGGATTCTTATTTGGGGGGTTAAACTAAACTTAGCATAACTTAATAAAGGGATGGAGATGGCCTGGGGCCCTTGTGGTCCACCAGCCACAGAACACACTAGCCTGAGAGAGAACGTATTTTAATTTTTTTTTTGGGGGTGCATTGGGTCTTTGTCGCTGTGCACGGGCTTTCTATAGTTGTGTCGAGCAGAGGCTACTCTTCATTGTGGTGTGCTGGCTTCTCACTGCGGTGGCTTCGCTTGTTGCAGAGCATGGGCTCTAGGGACTCGGGCTTCAGTAGTTGTGGCATATAGGCTCTAGAGCACAGGCTCAGTAGTTGTGGCACACAGTTGCTCCATGGCATGTGGGATCTTCCCAGACCAGGAATCGAACCTGTGTCCCCTGCATTGGCAGGCAGATTCTTAACCACTGCACCACCAGGGAAGTCCCGAGAATGTATTTTAAACTTAACCGTGGTTTACGAATGAGCCCAAAAGACCAGCAAGACCAATGAGGCTGCTTATACAATATGTTATCTTCAGTATTATTTTCATGGCAAATTATAGGATTCTGTGTTGCTGTTTTTCCTCTGAGTTGTCAAATCATGCCTTAATAAAGCTGTCTTTGAGGAACTTAGCCTATTTACATGTGGCATAAGAAATGCCTTGTGCAGTAGGCATCTGGTCCCAGGTCATTGTGTTGCACAGTCAACATCAGGGCAGAAACAAATAAGAAGCATGCCTCAAAATTTTTTCTACACACTCAGACTTGCTAACAGTTTATTGAGATTTCAAACACTCTGTCCATCTCCCTTATCTTGGGACAAAGTTGAGTGTGGGGAAGAGAGGAGGGAGGTGGGAAGAATAGTGTAGCTTTGAGAAAATGGTGGGAACCACCTTTAGGTAATCTCCAAAGGATTTGAAGGTGTCTAAGTAGTCTGCAGATGTGCTTGACATTCTGTCTCTTCTTTTTTAGATCCAATTGTGTCATTAACCTTGTACCTGATAAACAGCAAGTGCTGCAGGAGGTATATCGAGTGTTAAAGGTGAGGGGAAGAGGGAGACCAGTGGTCTTTGAACATCAGTGAGAGCACATGGGATATGTCCTGTTCTTGTCCCCTTGAGCTGAGAGCTCAAACTCTCAATTTCTCCATTAAATTAGAAAGAGTGGCAAAATGTGGGAGTGACAGGAATACCCTAGATATGAATTTGTTTTCCTCTAGGTTGCAAAAGGTGATAAATCTGAGAGTCACGATTGTGATTGAATATGTTAAAATTTGCTTTCTTGGCTGTTTTTCCTCCTGCTTGCTGCTGTACATAATCCTAGAATAGCATCTGCAGAGCTGCGGGGACCTTTGGACTGACTACTAAGGTTATTTTGAATATACGTTCCTAGCATGGACAGTGTTTCTCAGGGATCCTTATTTTGTATCCATCAGGGCTCCAGATCTTTGGGAAGTTAAGGAAGATGGATCTTTTCCATTAACTAGTCTCTTAAAGGAAAACTTGCAGGAGCTCCACACCCTCTATATGTATCATGAGATGTATCTCTTCATGACAGAAGATAGAAGATTATGAGATTCTTGGTTTTATAGGGCTGTTTTAGAGATCAAATAAGAATATCAATGTAGAAATGATTTAACAATGTCTTAGTGAGTAGGCCACTGTATAGACCAGCTCACTGTTTTCACCAGGGTGTATGTGTAGAAGGTAGAGACATTACTATAGAATCTAGATGTCCATGCTCTTGAAATTAGTTGAATAAAATCTTAAAATTCCTGATCACTCATATGCCTCAGATTTTAAGGACAATGTTTTAAAAAGATAATGTGTTATTATAAAAATAAATAACATTACAAAAGTTATATAATTTTTAAGGGAGAAGAGTTTATGAATACCGTTTACTTCTGTTAGTTCTGTAACAACCTGGGGTTGCTTTTGCTTCAGATTGGTTAAGCTTGGAAAGTTATTTTATTACCTGTTGAGTGAGGCACTGAAAACAAATCTTGGCAGTTGGCTATGATTATAACTAGGGAGGCAGCTAGTAGTTATTTGTCCAAAAAGGGTCAGCTCAAGAACTTCGGTTGTTTTTTTAAAACTTGATTCTAGCCCCTCATTCCTTTGCTATCTGGGACTAATGTAATCTTTAACCTTGTTTGGATTAATTCTGCTGTTTCAGCACGGTGGGGAGCTATATTTCAGTGACGTCTATGCTAGCCTTGAATTGCCAGAAGAAGTCAGGACACACAAAGTTTTAAGGGGTAGGTTTTTGTGTTTTATTTTGTTTTGAGGCAGATACTTGTCCAAGTACAGAGTTCCATCCTGCTAATATCCAGGATGAGGCTTTGTGATGTGGGAACATGGGATTAGTTCAGGAGGCTTAGGTTCTGTTCCTCCTCTGACACTCAAATCTGGTATGACCTTGGACAATTTAATTAATCTCTTTGAGTCGTGTGTTCTGTACTGTAAACTATAGGTAATAATTCAGTCTGCCTTAGAGGGCTGTTATGAAGATTAAATGAATGTGAATAATGTGAAAAAATGTGATAATGAATGTGAAAAATTCTTAAAAGCTCTAGTGTGGAAATGACGGCAACTGCTCCAGAGTTGATGCTGCCTCCTTAATTTCTCATGTTCTCATCATTATTGTGTTGTCGATTCCTTTACTGTCATTTTCATGGAGTCTCTGGACGTTGAGGAGATAAATGCATGTGTTTGGTCAGTCTGGTTATGAAATCAAAAGTTCTTAACTTTTAAAATAAATTATGTTAACTTTTTTCTTATTATACAAGAAGAAATGGATATTGTTAAAAAGCTGGAAAATAGGGAATTCCCTGGTGGTCCAGTGGTTAGGACTCCGCAGGGGGCCCGGGTTCAATTTCTGGTCGGGGAACTAAGATCCCGAAAGCCGTGTGGTGCAGCCAAAAAAAAAAAAAAAGTTGGAAAATACACAAAAAAAGTTACTACTAAGCACATAACCCAGTAATAACCTCTTTTAATAGCTTAGTATACACACTTTTAGGGTTTTGTTTTCCTGTGGGTGTGTATAATAATATTGGGAGTATGCTGCATATAGAATTTAGTATTCTAATTTTATTTAGCATATTTCCTAAACCTAAAACTTAAAAAAAATTTAAATGTTTGTATTATGCAACTGTATTGTACAGCTGTACCATAACTTATTTGACCATTTCTCTATTGGTGATGATTTAGATTATTTCTAATTTGTTGATGTAATAAATTTAAAAACTGTAAAATGCCTTATGAACATTAATAGTAATTACTGTTCTAGTAGCAGATCATTATGAGATTAATCTGGAACTAAGAGGCAGTTTTGGAATTTTTCTTGTATGTTTTTTTACATAGAGTGCTTTTCAGAATGTGACCTAATACATACATGAATATTATTATTGATAGAACCAATATATTAGTGACTGTCCTGAACAATGGTTCCCAGAGACCATTAGCTAGCATATCTGGTTTCAACCATGACTTTCTATACCTTGGGGGACCCTCAGGTCCTTCTTCTATTTTTCTAGAACCTATGCTTTAAGTAATACCATAGCCTAATCAATTATACAGAAGAATAATTCCCTTAATACCTAGTTGTATTGGTTGATCTGTGATTTTTCTTGTTTTTAGGTGAGTGCCTGGGTGGTGCTTTGTACTGGAAGGACCTTGCTATCCTTGCCCAAAAAATTGGGTTCTGCCCTCCACGTTTGGTCACTGCCAATTTAATTACAGTTCAAAACAAGGAACTAGAAAACATGATCTGTAAGAAACAGCAGTAGGGATTGTTATAACTGCACCCTGAATGGTTCAAATTTGGTGATTATCAAGTGTCTCCTGAGTGAGTCTCACTGAAGGAGACTTTTGTCGTCTGGAAATCTCCATCTTGTCTCCTGTTTAATGGCAACCTCCCAAAGTTTGGCATTTAATAAAGCACTTTGAAGTTATACAGTAAATAGACTGATGGGCCCATAAAGATAATTGATGGCATGCAAAGAAGAAATCGTCTTTATAATATTAAGCCTTCATCTGCTGAGCAAACCAATAGCCGTTGGAGTGCTGGAGATGAACCATGAGTATATTCTGTTTTTAGGTGACTGCCGTTTTGTTTCTGCTACATTTCGCCTTTTCAAACTCCCTAAGACAGGACCAACCAAAAGATGCCAGGTTGTTTACAATGGAGGAATCACAGGACACGAAAAAGAACTAATATTTGATGCAAATTTCACATTTAAGGTAAATAAAGATTTCCGTGACTTCCAGCATTCTTCCTATTCTTCCCTTTGCTCCAGGAACCTTTTCTTAACCTTCCATTGCTTCTCACTTTTCTGGTCTTGGTGTACGTGCGTTTGTCTATATATATACACACACATATACATATATGTATATACATATTTGCTGAACCATTGAAAAGTAAGTTGCAGATATCATGACGTTTTACCTTTAAAGGGTTCAGCATGCATCTCCTAAGAATAAAATATTCTCCTACATAACCAAATACCATTGTGACATCTAAAAAACTTTTCTATGAGAAACGTCATTCAGACATCAGATTAATGGAATTATAGAGAAAGGATGGAAAAATAGGAGAGGACTGCATAACAGTATTTCAGTTGTTTAATTGTATTGTGGAATTAAGGATTGTTAGTGTTTAATGATGACATTGACATTTCTACTACTCTTTTTAGAGTAGGTTTTGTTTTCTCAAAACAGAGATGTACAGCCTTTGGAATTAGATACCTGGTTTCAAATTCTGGCTCTGTTATTTATTTATTACTCAGGTAAACTTGAATGTGCCACCAAAATTGTTTGAGATACAATTTGCTCCACTGTAAAAGTAGGGATAATAATACCTACATGGCAGAATTTCTATAAAGATTAGCAATAATATAGCAAAACATTGGTACTGGGAACTCAGTAAATAGAAGATACAGTCATTATTTGCTCCAAAGGTGGAAGAACTTTACTGTTTCCTTCATCTGATTTTTTTGTCTAGATAGCATTTTCAAATTTCTAAAATACGCCCTGGTGCAGCAGAGCCGTTAATGCTTTTTCACTGATACACTGCCACTTGCCTGCTTCATTAGGTTCACAGGATCAGAGTGGGAAGGGCCTTTGAAATCATTACTCTGGTCTACTGGCTTTCAAAACATTTCTAATAGCAGAATTATTTTTTATTGAGATATAATTGACATATAACATTATATTAGTTTCAGGTATACAACATAATGATTTAATACTTGTATGTATTGTAAAATGATCACCACAGTAAGTCTAGTTAATGTCCATTACCATACATATTTACAAATTGTTTGTTCTTGTGATGAGAACTTTTAAGGTTCACTTTCTCAGCAACTTTCAAATATATAATACACTATTATTAACTAAAGTCACTATGCTGTACATTATATCCTCATCAGTTATTTATTTTATAACTGAGAGTTTGTATCTTTTGATCCACTTTAGCCATTTCGCCCACTCTCCAACCCCCCCAGAATTATTTCTTTCAGCAAAATTTTAGTTAAAAGACCAATACTTACTATGTGTCCGTCATTGCTTTATATAACCCCAGTATCTGAAGGGATACAAGCAGAGTTTATCTGATAGGAGCAGGGATTGGACAGCTCAGAATCTCCTGTGTTCGCTCCTGGTTCCCAAGGCGTAGACCCTTTACACCCCTCCCAGGCACCCTGGAACGCAAGGAAATACACTTTAAAAGCCACTAGTCCAAAGCCCTCATTTTAGCAATGAATAAGGTGAAACTCAGAGAGCAGTGGTTTTCTACATTTGCCTCTGAGCAGAGACTAGACACTGGAGCCACGAGTGCCCTTTTTTTTGCACTGTCACCAAAGGAAAACTGATAACGACACTGGTCAGTTCCATGTGAAAATAAGCCTGAAGCTAGCAGCAGGGTCTGAACATGAGAAAATACTTATGTCAAAAGGTGTAGTCTCCTTATTTTGAGATATTGCTCATTAGTAGAACTTCAGGGTGTTTTTCTTCTATTGAGACAAAAGAGGCATCTCTAAGAATGTGTTTTTCATGCTACCCTTCAGAAAGATGAAACTGTTGAAGTGGACGAAGAAACAGCAGCTATCCTGAAGAATTCACGATTTGCCCAAGATTTTCTGATCAGGCCAATTGGAGAGAAGTTGACGACATGTGGAGGCTATACTGCTCTTGAAGCAAAGGTTTGCTCGGCTTTCAATTCCCTAACCTCAAACAGAGAACCATTTAAAAAATCGTTATGGTCACCACAGACTGCTAAAGCAAAAAACAGAGCATTGTTCTTTTAGTTGGCCATCATAACTTATTTCTAGCATGTTTGTACCTATAAAATGATTTACCTTCATAACTTCATTTTCCTGGACTTCCCTGGTGGCACAGTGGTTAAGAATCCGCCTGCCAATGCAGGGGACACGGGTTCGAGCCCTGGTCCGGGGAGATCCCACATGCCGCCGAGCAGCTAAGCCTGTGTGCCACAACTACTGAGCCTGTGCTCTAGAGCCCGCGAGCCACAACTACTGAAGCCCGTGCGCCTAGAGCCCATGCTCCACAGCAAGAGAAGCCACCGCAATGAGAAGCCCGAGCACCACAACGAAGAGTAGCCCCCGCTCACTTTTTTTTCTTTTAATAAATTAAAAGAAAAGAAAGGAGAAAGAAACCATAAAGGAAACGACTACATAAAAATTGAAAACATCTATTCAGGAAAAAAAAAGCAAATAAAAAGATAAATGAGAGAAAATATTTGCAAAATATAATAGTCTCCTATAGAGCAATCAAAAATGAATATCACTCTAATAGAAAATGGTTAAAGGAATTATTATAGGAAGTTCACAATGCTCTATGTGAACATTATAAATTTACTTATGTTTTCTTTTAGTACTTTTTAAAAATGAAATAAAATTCATGTAACATAAAATTCATTATTTTAACCATTTTAACATGTACAATTTAGCAGCTTTTAGTATATTTATAAGGTTGTGCAACTATTACCACTATCTAGTGCCAGAAAACTTTCATCACCTGCAAAAGAAATCCCATGCCCATTAAGCCGTAATTCCCCAATCTCCCCCTCTCCCACCCCTGGCAATAACTAATCTGCTTTCTGTCTCTGGATTTGCTTATTCTGGACATTTCATGTAAGTGGAATCATACACTACGTGGCCTTTTTTGTCTGGCTTCTTTTACTTAATATAATATTTTAAAGGTTTATCCATATAGCAGTATTTCATTCCTTTTTATGGCTGAACAGTAGTCCCTTGTATTAGGGACTAAAAATGAGGCTAGACCTCTTTTTTTTTTTTTTAATCCATTCATCAGTTGATAGACATTTAGGTTGTTTCCACTTTTTGGCTATTGTGAGTAGTGTTGCTGTGAACATGCCTGTGTATGTGCTTCATGTACTTGTTTGAGTAGTTATTTTCAATTCTTTTGGGTCTATATCTAGGAGTGGAATTGTTGGGTCATATGGCAATTCTCCATTTAAGTTTTTGGAAAGCCACCAAACTGTGTTCTACAGTGGCTGCACCATTTTACATTCCTACCAGCAGTGTACAAGGGTTCCAGTTTCTCTACATCCTTGCCAACACTTGTTATTTTCTGTTCTGTTTTGATTGTAGCCATCTTAGTGTGAAGTGGTACCTCACTGTGGTTTTGATTTGCATTTCCCTAATGACTAATGATGTTAAGCATCTTCTCATGTGCTTGTTAACTGTATAATTTCTTGAGCATTTGTATATTTTCTCTAGAGAACTGTCTTGTCCTTTGCCTGTTTTTAAATTGGGTAGTTTGTCTTTTTGTTGCAGAGTTGTAAGCGTTCTTTATATATTCTGGATACTAGACCCTTATCACGTACATGATTTGCAAAAACATCTCCCATTCTGTGTGTTATCTTTTTATTCTCTTGATAGTGTCTTTTGATACATAAAAGGTTTTATTTTGATGAAGTCCAGTTAGTTTTTCTTTGCTCGTGCTTTGGGTATCATCGCTAAGAATCTATTACTTAATCCAAGGTCATGAAGATTCTTCTAGTACTTCCATGGTTTGTTTTTCACATTTAAATTTTTACTCCATCTGGAATTTATTTTTTTAATGCTAAATTCCTCTTTTTAAATTAATTTATTCATTTACTTTTTATTTTTGGCTGTCTCAGGTCTTAGTTGTTGCATGCGGGATATTCCTTGCGGCACCTGGGCTCTTCGTTATGGCGTGCTGGCTCCTCTGTAGTTGTGGCGTTTGGGTTTTTTCTCTCTAGTTGTGACGTGTGGGTTTTCTCTCTCTTGTTGTGGCGCACAGGCTCCAGAGCACGTGGGCTCTGTAGTTTGCAGCACGCAGGCTCTCTAGTTGAGGTATGCGGGCTTAGTTGCCCCACGGCATGTGGAATCTTAGTTCCCTGACCAGGGATGGAACCTGTATCCCCTGCATTGGAAGGTGGATTCTTTACCACTGGACCACCAGGGAAGTCCTTAGAATTTATTTTAACATAAATATTCAGGTAGAGTGTCGCTATTTTTCTGAATATTAGCTAGTCAAATTTTCCTGTTTATTAATTCATTGCTCTGCTGTTTTGGAATGCTAATTTCTATCATATCTAATTTCTTAAATGTATATTTGAGCCAGTATTCCAGCATATTCGAAAATGAATATTTTCTAAAATGTCTTAGATTCATATTTAGAATTATTCTAGTAACTGAAATACTGGTGTAGCAATTTTTTTTTTTTTTTTTTGCGGTACGCGGGCCTCTCACTATTGTGGCCTCTCCTGTTGCGGAGCGCAGGCTCAGCGGCCATGGCTCACGGGCCTAGCCACTACGCGGCATGTGGGATCTTCCCGGACCGGGGCACAAACCCATGTCCCCTGCATTGGCAGGCGGACTCTCAACCACTGCGCCACCAGGGAAGCCCTGGTGTAGCATTTTTTAAAGCATTTTATCACAATTTATCTCAGGTCATCTCTCACAACTTCCCTGTGAGGAGGGCAGATAGGTAGTTTTAACAGATATTAGCATCTCTCTTCCTCTTATTTATTTTTACCTTTTCCCCATTCATGCTATCATAATTATTTTATTAATCCATTCATTATTTTATAGTATTTTATTATTTAGAACAGGCTTAGTGATGGATTTCAAGTCTCTTTTGTCTGATAGAACTTCCTTTTTAAAAAAAATTTATTTTATTTATTTATTTTTGGTTCTGTTGGGTCTTCGTTGCTGCACCCATGCTTTCTCTAGTTGCAGTGAGTGGGGGCTATTCTTCATTGCGGTGCGTGGGCTTCTCATTGCGGTGGCTTCTCTTGTTGCGGAGTGTGGGCTCTAGGCACGTGGGCTTCAGTAGTTGTGGCTCGCAGGCTCTAGAGCTCAGGCTCAGTAGTTGTGGCACACGGGCTTAGTTGCTCCGTGGCATGTGGGATCTTCCTGGACCAGGGCTTGAATCCGTGTCCTCTGCATTGGCAAGTGGATTCTTAACCACTGCACCACCAGGAAAGCTCCTCTGATAGAACTTCTAACATTCACGAAAGTCATTACAGTGATGCACCTCAAGGCACTGGATGTTGGAAGCCCAGGGAAATAAGCTACTGATCTTGCTGGGGCAGGGTGGTGGCACAGCATGGGGTTTAAGTACACAGGTCTTGGAGTCAGATAGACTAGGTTCAGATCTTGGCTCTGCCAATTATGTGTGATCTCGGATACCTTACCTAACCTCCCTAAACCCTCAGTTTCCTCATGTGTAATGGGGAGGTAATAATCCCTTTTTTCCTCAGGTTGTGAGAATCAAATGGAATGATACATGTAAATGTTGGCCAATGCCTGGCAAATAATACATACTTAAGAAATAGAGGTGGTTATGGTTATGGACTTGTATTTGTTAATATTCTTGGTCCCTTGGAACCGTGTTCTACGTATTTGAGTTCTGACCATCTTTGCAGGATTCTTTTATCATTCTCTCATAAACCCTTTCTCCTGAGCTCAGAATTTCTGTAATCTTTTCTCCATGAATTTTACTTTCTGTTGTTTATATTTCATAGAAATTTTGGATACATGGGACACACATTGATACACAAGTAACTCTTGTGCCTTTTCCTCCCTCCCCTTTTGTTACCTCACAAGCAGTCTTTTTTTTTTTTTTTTGGCCACACTGGGCGGCTTGTGGGATCCTAAGTTCCCCAACCAGGGACTGAAGCCGGGGCCCTGGCAGTGAAAGTGCCGAGTCCTAACCAGTGGACCTCCAGGGAATTCCCAAGTAGTCTTTTTTTTCTTTTAAACATCTTTATTGGAGTATAATTGCTTTACAATGGTGTGTTAGTTTCTGCTTTATAACAAAGTGAATCAGTTATACATATACATATATCCCCATATCTCTTCCCTCTTGCGTCTCCCTCCCTCCCACCCCCCCATCCCACCCCTCTAGGTGGTCACAAAGCACCGAGCTGATCTCCCTATGCTATGCGGCTGCTTCCCACTAGCTATCTATTTTACGTTTGGTAGTGTATATATGTCCATGCCACTCTCTCACTTTAAGAGTAAAGCTTATTGGGAATTCCCTAGTGGCCTAGTGGTTAGGATTCCAGGCTTTCATTGCCGTGGCCCAGGTTCAGTCCCTGGTTGGGGAACTGAGATCCTGCAAGCCAGATCACTCTCCAAAATGGTAAATTTGTGGTTGAGGAAGTTCAGTTGGAGACAAGAATCCTGGGGCCCAAAAAACCTGGTATGTTCTTGTTTGGCCACTATTACCAGCATGAATCAAGTCCAAGCTAAGTGTAGAAGCCACCTCTAGAGGTAAAGAGTGATTTTCTTTCTTTGCTTTATTCAGTTCTTGAGCACTCTGCTATTGTCAACTCTTCTGTGTTTCTAAGGAGGTAACTTTTGGGGGGAAAGTAGAAAAAACTTGAATTCTGACTTTTCAGTCCATTACATTTCATGAATGTGTTATTGGTCTTTTGAAATTCTTGGTATTTCACTGATAACAAAATCTTGCTGGTCAGAATCAATGTTTATCTTGAAATATTTTCATCATTCTAATTCTCCTGTACCTGGTTTCCTGAATCCTGGCTCTAAAAGATGTCAGAAAATTAGTTACAAGTAAAGGGAGTCTTTTCCCCAGCCAAAGCACTTCCACTGCACTCTGGCTGGGAAACTGTAGTTAAATGAGTTTGCTTCTGCAGGAGATGATTTTCTACTAGCATAGCTCTCCTAGCTAGCAACACCTCATGTGCAGGAGGGTTCTTGACCTTAGGCTGGAATGCAACATTCTACATGTTTGAACTGGTTTATCAGAACAATCTCCCGTCTGTCCTAGCTTATTTCTTTCAGCCTGTGGTTGTGCCATTGTCTTGCCATCAGCTCCACGTTTCTGAAATGGGAATAATTGACACTGAAGGAAGATTTAAAGAATGAAACAAGTGTGTGTCCTAGAAATATAACCTTGTGCTCTCGGGGGAGGACATTCTTATCTTTTTTATGGAGGACCTTAATGATAGATTCCTGAGTACCGTAAGCAGGCGGCATGTAGGGAATTGCTTGTATTTCTGTTTTACTATCAGTTACTGCAATAGAGGAATGAAAGTACTGCTTGTTACTGAGGGTTGACTCGATAATGACTGTTTTTGAGAGCCCTTTTTTTCTTCTTCTCCTCCTCCTCCTTTTTTAATCCTGAGAAGGAAAATGTATTTTTGCTATTTAAAAGAATTATGTTATTAAAACACTGCAGCATCTGAAATGATGCAAATAGGAGGTGTGCTATGTACTGTCTTGTTCCAGTTAACAGTCGTGGTAGTAATCACATGACAACAGTAGTAATAGTATAGAGGACGTAGCCTTTATCGAACAGTTAATATGTTGAAGGTACCACGTCATTTACTCTTCACAATACCCCTTATCTTCATTTTACAGATGAAGAAACAGGCTCAGAGAGATTAATTTGCTAATCCAAGGTCACGCAGCTAGAAAGCAGTGAATCTGAACCCACATCTGATTCTAGAGCTGACATTCTTCTTATTTATTTATTTTTGGCTCAGTAGTTGTGGCATGTGGGCTTAGTCGCTCCACAGTATGTGGGATCTTCCTGGACCAGGGCTCAAACCCATGTCCCCTGCGTTGGCAGGCGGAGTCTTAACCACTGCGCCATCAGGGAAGCCCCTAGAGCTGACATTCTTAACCAGTATGCTGCACTACCTCTCCGTATCTATACTGTTCATAGAAGCACAAGATGTTGGTGCTGGAAAGGACTGCTTGTCAAGGTGTCCCACCTTTTATTTCTTTCAAGTCTTGAGAGCTTCTGGGGCTGAAAGCATGCATTTGGAAGTGATATTGATATCACTTGTACACCCTTCTATTTGCAGTGACCGCCAATAAATAATGAGTGTAAATTCATGTTTAATGAGTTCACCTTCATTATTTAAGGTGGCTTGTTCATATTCTTGACTTCCAACCTTTTTGCCTGGTTTTTCTCTGACCCCCTTTGCACTGCTGGTGGAGGTATCTCATTTGAAGATGAAAGGAGGAAAAATAAAGAGTGCCGTCTTATCTTTTGAAAATTCCACTTACTCTGCCCTGAAATCTTGATGGTTGTGGTTGGCAATCTCAACATCTGAGCATCAGCAACTGCTAATGAGGGTCCTGGTATCTGGGTCTTACCTCCTTCTCTTGCACACATTTCTAGAAATTAAAGTAAGAGAAGGGAAGAAGTTTCAGCATTTCAGTAGCTCAGTTCCAAAAAGGTAAAAGGCACAAACAAATGGGAATCCCACAAAACGAAACAAAGCAGAATCAACTCTCTTGGCCCCAAAGGGAACACCTTTCCAAAGCTGTAAATGAAGTTTACCTTGAAAGTAGTGATAACTTGATTAGAAACTTCAGGAAAAGACAGCTATCTTTATAAGTTAGTGACTGATGCTACTCCCAGGACCTCACAGAATTGTAAAATTTTATCCTCCTTCTAGGTAAATCAGCCTAAGTCGAACTGAAATGTTTGTGTTTGGGTCTGTTGAAACACCTTTAACTTGTCCTTTCACTTTGGTTTGTCTTTTGACAGGATATAATAAAAGATCCATTCAAGCTTGCAGAAGGGTCTGACAATGCAAAGTCCAGAAGTCCCCCTGAAGCTGCCAGCGGCTGCTGAGGCACAGAGAAGTGCTGCTAAAACAACAGCTGACCAGAAGACAGCTGGGCAGGAGGTGAAAGAATGAGTTACACGTCTTAACCTGCTCTTCCCCACAGCCCATACCACAAGAAAAGGCAAAACTCCACCGTATTTTAGATTAAAATTAATGAATTATTTTTACAAAGTATTAATTAAAGGTTCACAGCAAAATCATCTAAAGACTAGTTAAGCAGTTTTTCTCTTAACCGAGTCTGGTGCCACCTAGTGGCAAGAAATGGAACTGAGAAGCAGTCTGAAAGCTTGGCTGATGGGCAAGAAAGGCTTCGGAAATAACAGTTGGCCAGGGGCCTCAGGGAGAACATCTTCCTTCTGACCTGCATAGCACCTTTTGGACTTTTCACCATGTTTTTTCATTAAACAGAGCTCCTACTGAACTCATGCTAATCATGCCAAAAGATTGCCAAATCAAATTTGGTAGGAGTGCTCTTGAGGTAATTGGTCTTTTAAATCAAACAATTTTTTTTCTTCTTTTTAATGTGCAGTTGAATGAAGAAAACAAACAGGTAATCATTTTTTGACCTCAGTTTACCCTAATGTGTGACAAAATAATGACCATCTGCAGTAAATCTTAACCGGATCAGGAAAAGAGTTTGATAATTTTTTTTTTTTGCAGTACGCAGGCCTCTCACCGTTGTGGCCTCTCCCGCCTCAGAGCACAGGCTCCGGACGCGCAGGCTCAGCGGCCATGGCTCACGGGCCCAGACGCTCCGCGGCATGTGGGATCTTCCCGGACCGGGGCACGAACCCGCGTCCCCTGCATCAGCAGGCGGACTCTCAACCACTGCGCCACCAAGGGAAGCCCAAGTTTGATAATTTTTAAAAGACAAGCTAGGAGATGTAAAAATGGTAGGTTTTCTTTTCCTTTATAAGCTGCCCTGGTTAAACTTTTAGGAAAGTATTAAATTTAGTTCTAGTTTCCATAGTTAAAGAAGAAAATTGAGGAATATTTCAAGGATGGTTATATCATTAGAAATTAAGAGCATTAAGGGAAGGTTCAAGAGTGAGTAAATAAATTGAAGACCAGTTGTACCTGAAGACTTTGTCAGGGGCACAGAAAGTGTAAGTCATATATAAGCCATGGTCCTTGTCATCGGGAGCTGATAGTTCAGTTTTTAAATAACAGCCTTTAAGCAATGAAGAATTTTAATAAGAAAATCTCAACTAGTCGCTCAGAGCTCAGTGCAAAAAGAATAAGAGGGGAGGGACTTCCCTGGCGGTCCAGTGGTTAAGACTCCGCTCTTCCAATGCAGGGGGCGTGGGTTCCACCCCTGGCTGGGGAACTAAGATCCCACGTGCCACATGGCACAGCCAAAAAAAAAAAAAGGGGGAAATTGGCATGACCCAAGAAATTTTTTCATTAGAGGTATGGGAATACAAGAGGTCTTGTAAAACATTGGAATGAATTTTACAGGACAGACCCCTCTTTTAACAAAGCTGTTCAAAATGGAGAAATTCTCAGATTTCTGAGTGGGTTCAGCTGTAGACCCTAACTTATTACTACAAAGCGAGGAAAGGGCAGATGGTATCTTTTAAGCCCGATTCATCTGTGTGACCTTGATTCTAAACAGTGCTTTCTTGGTTCTAGAGTTCAATATCTACCCAATCATAACCTACTTCAGTGACAGCATTAGTTAGAATGGTACAGCTGGGATTAGGCATACTTTACTATTCATGAATGCTCGATGGTCCTGAGAGGGGAAAAGGTGAAAAGAAAGAGTGTTCTGGTTATTTGGTTTATTAGGCTTTTCAAAATTTATGAGGAAGAGGTATTAGCCTTAGCTTGTCATTCTGAACTTCTCAGTTCCCCCAAAAGATGTTGAGTGATGATATTGGTCTAGAAATTCACATTGTTCTTTTCCTAAGAATAACATACTTTAGGGCTTCCCTGGTGGCTCAGTGGTTAAGAATCCGCCTGCCAATGCAGGGGACACGCGTTCGAGCCCTGGTCCGGGAAGATCCCACATGCCGCGGAGCAACTAAGCCCATGCACCATAACTACTGAGTCTGTGCTCTACAGCCCACAAGCCACAACTACTGAGCCCGTGTGCCACAACTACTGAAGCAGGTGTACCTAGAGCCCGTGCTGCACAACAAGAGAAGCCAGCACAATGAGAAGCCCGTGCAGCACAATGAAGAGTAGCCCCCACTCGCCGCAGCTAGAGAAAGCCTGTGCCCAGCAACAAAGACCCAATGCAGTCAAAAATAAATAAAATAAATAAAAATTAAAAAAAAAGAATAACATACTTTATACATTATTTTCATTTATTAAAAATATACATTTTGGGCTTCTCTGGTGTCGCAGTGGTTGAGAGTCCACCTGCCAATGCAGGGGACATAGGTTCGTGCCCCGGTCCGGGAAGATCCCACATGCCGCGGAGCGGCTGGGCCCGTGAGCCATGGCCGCTGAGCCTGCGCGTCCGGAGCCTGTGCTCCGCAATGGGAGAGGCCACAACAGTGAGAGGCCCGTGTACCGCAAAAAAACAAAAAACAAACAACAACAACAACAAAATATATATATACATTTTAAGAATTGTATTTGATCTGGAATCTAGAAAAGATATATATTAGACAATATAAAATTAAAGTAGATATGTTTTACCCAGAGAAATGCCATAAACAGTTACTTAAATATTCAAAAATAGGTGAAATAGACAACTAGGAATATTTGATCCTTATGAGAGTGAGAGGCAGTATGGAATGATGATTAAGAGCAAAAAGCTGATGCCAAACATTTTCGTTTTTTCCCTCTTAACTCTGCCATTTAGCATTTTGGCCTTGAGAAAATAATTTAACATCTCTGTGCCTTCGTTTCATCTGTATGAAGTTCTCTGAAAGAGCGCGTGGCACATGGTTTAGATTATTATTAGTTTAGATCTACTGATACATGGTTGCTGCGAGCATGTGATGTCAGGACCAACTAAAGACCAATGCTTCTTTTGCTGCCAGGACGTGGTTTATGAAGCTGCCTGTAGGTCTTTTGACAGCGGGCAGCTTTACCTCCAACATTTTATTAGAACCATTTTCAAATATACAGAAAAGTTTAAAGAATTATAGTGATGACCCATTTACCCACCACCTAGATTATATACTTGTCAACCTTCTGCAATCATTTAATACGTTTTAACATATTTACTAACAGCAGTGCCATAGAAACAGAGGCCTAATTCTTCCCTCGCCACAAACCTTTTTCAAAAGATATTGGACTTAAAGAGTTAAGGAGCAGATTTTCTCTTAATTGATTATTGTATCAAATACAGTATTTTCAGTGCTTCATTATCGCAGGGGGAGGATTTATTAAAAATCATGGAAGCCTGCAGAGGCTTTTCAGCTTTTACCTGCTGGGGGAGGCACAGCAGTAGCCTAAACAGGACCCCTACCCCCACACCCCTTAAGGCACACATGGCTTTAAAGGTCATGCCAAGACAGCAGCAGAACCCTCTCCTCTTAACTGATTCTTGGCCTTTCTTCTGATGGCTCCCAACCTTATTAGGTTGGGAGACCTATTACATGAGTTCAGCAAGAAATATGAACCTATCTATCCATTTCTTTGTAAAACAAAGAATGTTGCTTGCTGTCAGGTTCTGCAAAGATTAAGTTGTTAGCTACTGCTGCCACTGATGACAGTACACCCTGAAAGGAATTCAGGACGAAAAACAGGATGAACCACTCTGTGCTTTGGAAAAACAGGTCCCTTAGATAGTTAGATATAGCTCAAGAAAAATTTTTATGAACCCAGATTCTTACATCTTTACATACATAGAAAAGCACTAAAATGATTAACTGAGATATCTGTTCCTTGTGACTAGCAGTAACCTTTCACTGAGATGTATGCTTGATTACACATATTCCCCAGACAAAATCATCTTTATACTGGATTCTCCCCCTAGCTCTTTAGAGCAGTCCCCCCAGAGCTACCAAGAGGCTGATTCCCAGGCTAGAGTCCTCAGTAAGACCCTGAATAAAACTCAACTCACAACTCTTACGTTGTGTATTTCTCTTTCAGTCGACATTTTCATTAAGTCACTAAATATTAACTATGTACCTACTGTGTACCAGGCACCATCCTAGGCCTGGATTGCTAACAATGGAATATTATGCACCCCGGGGGCCAACAGGATAAAAACAGCCAGGCATATTTTCTGAACTTTGTTGGTACCTGTCCTCACTTCTGTGCTTTGCCAAGTTTCTTCAATTGTACACATGCCACAATTTGGATCTAAACAGGGTTTCTTTTGTAGACCCTGCCCTAAGAGTCAGCAGAGGGAGGTCTCACTAGATAGTCAGAATGAACTCTTTTGTAAATATGAAGCTGGAAGTAGACAATCCTAATAATAACCCATGACTTGAGCTTTACTGCTTCATTCCAGTCTCTGTTCAACTGCTGATCCTGCAGTTCCCGTAAGCACAGCTCCCACTGAGGTTAATGGGAGTGTTCTGCGAATGTAAGTTTTGTACTTCATCTTCTGCCGAGTGAGCCTTGCTTGTCTTGGATGGTTGACCGTCGTCCCGATCCCCTTCCCCAACAGGCCACACTAGTCCCTCCTTTCATGTAGCAGAGCCGTACAGCAGTGACAGGCTCCAGGTGAAGGGAAAATCAATTGAGGACAGAAGTGTTCTGTCCGTTGTCTCATATAATAGCAGAGTGCCTCCTATATACTGTCCAGAAGCCAGAGAGAGTAAAAAAGTAGAATGGTGAATTGATGATGTTCTGGGTGCTCTGTAAGCCAGACTTGTGTCCTCTGACTTTGCAAACTAGGCTGAAAGCCGTTAACCTTCTTCTCATTCATGGAAGGAAAAGTGATGCAGGAGACAGAAAGCAGGTGTTCTTTCTAGATCTGACTCTACTGCTGAATTAGCTACTTGCCTCTCGGAAAATCATTTGTCCACTTTGGGGTTCGCTTTCTCCAGCTGTAAAATGAGGTTTTGAACTTGGCATACTCTAAGTTCCCTTCCAACTCAGACACAGACTTACAGGTCTAGATTCTGGAGAGGTTACAGAATTTAAAAAAATTGTTTGAACTAGTTGCCCACATTTATAAACCAGAAGGTTTTCCATAACATATGAATTTCTGGCTTCTCTTGAAAAATTGGCAACATGAGCCCTGCATTTTGCACAGCTGCCATGGCCCCAGTGAGTATTGGCTCCCCTGTTACACAGGGCGTGTCCCTTTAGGCACCGTCCCTACCCAGTCAATGTTGCCGACCCCTGTAGGCTTTTTGAGTTTGTGGCCCCATTTTAGGACTAGAATTAGCACAGTGTCATCAAAATTAAAAGTGAGGGTATTTTCCCCATTATAGTTCAAATGATGGCAGGCCTATGGCTTAATCTATGACTCTGACTTACATGTTTAATTCATTACAAGCAGAAGCCAAGAAGGGCACGTGGAGCTTGGCAGGGATGCTCACAGGAGGGAACCAAAGAGCACTGGAGCTGCTTAT